TGAGCAGCTTGATTAGCCAGAGTGAGATTAGAAGTTGCATTTTTGGCCTTTAAGCATATGGTGTAGCATATTATATATCACTTCTCCATAATCTCTACAACAACATGCCTATATGAGCAGTCTGGTTTACACCAGTAGTACAAAGAAAAGAATATAATCTCTTGAAATATTTGTCTGTAACTAAGAGAAGGACAAAGTTGGACAAATGCTACTTCCCAAAGCAGAAAACACTTTGCTTTATCAGAGTAACTAAATGAATACTAAATTGAAACTCATGTCTTAAAGTAATAGTAGAAATTAAGTGATGAATCATGATTAAAGGGAATCTCTGTGTCTATTATTGCACTGTGCTATATTAGTTCTGTTGTCCCTGTCACACTATTTCCCTGCTGCTAAAAGATTGTGTTAAATAGCAATATGCACTGTCCATCCCAGATCTCTTTAAATACTCCTGTTCAGTACTTGATGAAAAGCTTACAAATACCACTCAATTCATTGTCAGTTCTTTTTAATACCATAAAACCAGGAAGCTTTTCAAAGGCTATTAGTATGATAGACATTATACATGTAACCAAGGCTTGAATTCTGACCAAAGCTGGCATTTCAATGCAATAAATAGTTTCTTATGTTAAAATAAACCATAAATAAAGATATTTTAGAGAGGATAGATGTGAACAGAAGAAATTTATCAAAAACCTACAATAAAATATTTTCTATTAAGTCTGTTAAAATGAGAGCAGATACTGTAACATGAGAACAGATTTTGCTTTTATTACACAAGTAGTTAATTATCATAGTTACATTTTTCAAGTACCAAGAAGGCAAAGAGGTCAGGACTTCCTTTGTCTTCAAATTTTAAGCAAAGAATAAAAAGACCTGGGAACCAGTAGTTGGCAGACCCTGTTAACAAGAAAATAATGTTCTATAGTGTAAATGTCATCTATAGATTGTGACTGCTATTTCCAATTCACATTTAGTGAAGAAAGAATTGGACTGACACTATGTTAAGAACTTTTCAAATCTCCTACACATAATTGGGATGTTTAATTAAGTGACGCACTTAATATACAAACCCAGCACATTCAGAAATGCTCCAACTGAACTGGATTGTAAAAAGGCTGTGCTTACGTAAAGCAAAAATTTTGGTTCGTTTTCATAACTCTTACAATAACTCTTTAGATACATTTGAACAGAGACATTATCTTTGCATTGTCTCATAATAACTCTTTTGACCTCCTCAATGGCATACACTTTAAATTTTAATATAAGCACATTTATAATTTATATGTGTTTATAATTTTTATATAATTTTAGGAAGACAGTGATGTGATGGTTATGTTATTGTCCTAAATAAATATATTTAATATCACTTACTAATAAGTGCTATTAATTGTAATTCCACTCACCCCATTCTAGCATAATACCTAAAGTTTTTATTTTAATTTAACCACTGACTCATTGCAAGACAGTTTCAGAATTTTCCCTCTCTCATTTTCGAATCCATAACCCTATCTTTATATCCAATTAACTGATACTTCTTGGTGCACAGAGCAGCATATCAGGTTTGTGGTTAACTCATCTAATGAAATAATAAATAAGGGTAAATGGAGACCCTTGTCTGGTCCATCACTAAGGAGAATTTTAAATCTGTCAGCAAAGTAAATACCAAGAGACAAAAAAAAAAATCTCCCAACCAAAGATGACTCTATTTCCTTCCTTTACGTTGAAGATTTTAACTGATAAATACCATTCAAAACTGTCTATTCCTTCTGATTTCATTTGGTGGTAGAGCCACTAAACTTTTATTTGCCTTCTCACCAGAAAACGTCTGAAGTAAGTTCTCCCTTCCCTTCTATATCATACATCTAACTTATGATCCCTTATTAGAATATTTGCATGAATCAAATTACATATCCAGTGAAAAATATTTTCATAGGTCTAACACTGAACTTGCTAAGGTATATGCATTTCAAAAAATTATCCATAAATTTCCATAAGGCTGATACTGATTTTGTCTGTTTAAATATTGGTAAGTAGTATAATCTCTACATTTTTATATGTATACAGTTAATCTTTATTCATTTTTATCAATGAATTCCTAGAGTTACTTGTGGTAGCAAGGACATGAAATAGGATAGTAATAAAAAAATGATGAGGGAGGAAAAAAGGAAATGTGTCACTTAAAAGGAGTCACTTAAAAATAGAGGTTCTGCATTTTTCAAATTGCAAGTGGAATAGTCTGCATATTACTGACATTTGTTGTAGAAAAACTAGTTTTTTGTTTATTAAATAATTTAGATTTTTAGTAATCTTAGTTTGGGTGAACTTATATATGTGTATTTAGAGATGATAATATTAGATTATTTGTAATGTTAGAAAACTGTCAGGAGTGTACCTGTGTTTTTCTATTTATATAATTAATCTTAATTTCTGTCTTTTGTACACATAGAAGTAGAGTGTTCAATCATGTGTGTGTTAATTGACTTACTTCCTAATTATTTTTATATCTGTATATTGTCAGTTTCATATGGCAGTTTCCTAGAAGGTAGACCAGAATTTTATTAAAATTTTTAAAAATCACATAACATGTGACCACTTAATACATGTGATTTTAGGATGATAATGATGTCATGGTTATATTTAGGTCATAACTATAAATTGAAAGATACTCAAACCATTTTAAGAGTAAAAAAATAATCTAACTTATGTAGTGTAAGGACTAATATACTCTAAAGAATGTGAACATATAAAACTTGCTTAAATTTGCTCATATATCAAATCGATCACAATAGCAACAAATCCTAGAGTCATATGTATAAGCTGAAATCTGTCAACTCACAGTGGCTTATGGCATCCCTCCATTCAAAGAACTTTCCTTATAAAGTTCATTTATCATTCTACATAAAGTATTTGTACTTGTAGGTGTAGGGATAATTAAGGGTTAACATAGGGACGATTAAAACACTCTATATACAGAAAAAATAAGATGCTGTTAGGTGAGAGAAGTGTGACAAGCTTCCTACCTATGATTAACTTTATATAGGGTATATATCTCTGTATCTTTATCCATGTACATATCTGTAAACTCTGTATTGTCTGTCTGTCTATCTAGACTGACAGCTTTTTAAAGTTTAATATGTCTGTCTTTCTCTGTCCCTTTCAGTTTGATTTCTTGTTATTTGGAAATAGTATGAGGTAAATGATTATCGGAAGAAAAGGCCTTTTTGTAGATTGATAAATTCTTTTCTAACTGCTTGTTCTAACCATTCTATTTGTTATCAAAGAACAAGCAGTTAAGTAAACTGGCAATTTTATAAAACAGCCAGACACTTGAAAAACCCATTGGTGAATTAATTTTACAATATACATTTCAGAATGCTTTTTATTATAATAAATTCAAATACAGTAATTTATAGGTAAGTCAGTATGTTCTTTAAAAAAAGAGAAATATTTTAAAAAATCACTGAATTTCTGTCATGTTTCTTTTTCATGTTAGGCAATTTGATCTAATTAATCTGAATATGTTAACATGGAGAAAAGAAAAGACATAGCTATTTTTCAGTATTAAATATGAAAGGTTTTGATTTATTTAGTTCTTTATTTCTTTTTGAAGAGAAGAATTAATCTACCTTGAATTTCTGTTTTTTTTTTTTTTCTTCTGCTTCTAACCTCTTTTCATTATTAATTTCTCTTTTCTTCATTACATAAAGTGCCACACTGGAAAAGTTTGAACTGCATTCAAAATTGACTATTAAAATCAGTTGTGAATCATATCTATTAATCTTTTTTGGTTTTCAAAGACATGTTGCCTAATAAATTTGTTCTAAAACAGTATTTATATAAATACTTGGTTTTATTTACAGTAAAAGTAAATTGTTTTTTTCTAGGAAAGTCATTGCTACTTCAAAGGTTGCAAACTTGTAAAGTTAATAAGTTGTTTGATTACATACTGGTTAGTACAAGTAATGCCTCAACAAGTGTTACTGCCTTCTGTCGGAGCGTGTACTTTAGGTTTCTATGCCAGTTTTTCTGATCACCACTTTTGCCATCCTCTTCCTATTTTTCACATCATTTCCCTCTTTCTCTAGGGCTTTCCCCCTAGCTTGTCCTTTTTTTTATGTTTTCTTTCCTTCCTTCTTTCTCTTCTATATCTTTTTCTCCTTCATTATTTTGTTTTCTTTCTGCCTCTCATCCTCAGAACCCTGAAGAAAAAGGAAGTAGTGTAAAAAAAAGTTTTAAGTAAATTACTTTATTTTCAGTTTAATGAACAACCTTTGAGGAATTGCTAAATTTTTGTACTTTCTGGTATAAGCTTAGTTGCTTGAAATAAGAAAAGGTTTAAAGAAAAAGCTAGAATACTAGGTTTATGAGTACTTCTTTCAGAGGACCAATGTATGTCACTATTTTTCTAGATACACACACACATACATATGTATGTCTCCTGTATGAATAACCACATATTCTCATATGCTAAATTGTATTCCTATATGTATTTTCTGTTTATTATGTATATATGGAATTTTGAAGATGGTAATTATATTTTATAAGTGTACTGTACAAATATGCTTTTTACTAGTTTAGATAACATATTTATATACATATTTTTCAATTCTTTAATCTTGTATTTATCTTAATTACAATTTAAGTCATTTCAAAAGCCTTTGTGTTCTTAGTACTGTGACATTAATGAAATGATCAATTATGAAATATTGAGAACACTGCCATGTAGTTGTTTACTTTTAGTTATAGATACTATAGCTGAAGTTCAAATATCTAAGCATGTTAAATAAGAGTTATAGAGTTTGATGAAATCTGATACCTCTGGAAAGCTAGTGTCTATGTTTTGCGATACTTTAGTACTATTATTAAGTAGTTATATTAAATGTGACAAAAATTATTGATCAATGCTAAAGAATTTATGAAAGATAACATAATATTTGTGAAGTCCATTAATAGATATTTGGTTATGACCACGATTTCTCTTTCTGTTTCTATGCAAGGTGCCTGTGTCAGTGGCCATGATGACTCCCCAGGTGATCACCCCTCAGCAAATGCAGCAGATCCTTCAGCAACAAGTCCTGTCTCCTCAGCAGCTCCAAGCCCTTCTCCAACAGCAGCAGGCCGTCATGCTGCAGCAGGTAATGTGGGTTACCTGCTTTGGTGTTCTAGCATGACTTAGAAGGTGTGCACTTATGTTGAAAATGCAGTGGGCGTATTTGACAATTCAGTCTCCATTTGAAAGGACAACCTATCAGCATGCTAGAACATAAATGTAACATTTTAATTATAGAACTCGTAAGAAAATCTAGATTACTTAGTTTTAAAAAATTCATTGAAGTCTAGAATAAGAGCAGAGTAAGGTGTAATTTGAAAATGGAATAAACCAATATTTAAATATCCAAATGCTTAGGTTCATTTGATTTGTGACTTGCCAACAAAAATGCAAAAATACTCATCAGATAATAATTGCTTTTAAAACTCCTAACACCTTAGCATTCCTTTTATTTCACGAAAGTATGAAATTTGAATTGACAACTTTGTTAAAAATGCAGAAAGTAACATTCCAAACTTTCCTTTTCAAAATATACTCATCATTTAGAAAGGGAAGAATCTATTTATTATAATGAAATTAGGCAGCTGAGCCACAAATTTATGAAATTTATCTTTTTAAAATAACAAGCATAGTGTTCCTAATATATATAATATTGGAACCTTGAGTGTATATGAAGTGGAGTTTATGTTATACACCTACTTATTATAGTGAAAATAATGTGATTTACCTGAAGCTTTTTTATATATAATTACTTTGCTATCTTCTGTGCTGATGACTACAGACCAATTACTTGTAAATCTAACATTGTTCTCAACATCTGATGGATTAATTTTTTTTCCAATAAGAATCGAGCAACCTGATTTTATGTAGCTAAATTTTTATTCTTACAAGTGGTAGAGTATAGCCTAGTTTTTATATGCCAGTAGGACTTCAGATGTAATAATTTAAAGTATTAATTTGGCTCTGACCCTTTAGAATACAGACTTTCTATACCCTTTTGTTTAGGATTTTTTGGATTCTGGATTGGAAAATTTCAGAGCTGCCTTGGAAAAAAATGTATGTAGAGCTGTCTCTTTGAATCCAATGCATATTTTTTTGTTGTTTTTATGAGATGAATCTTAATGGATACTCTGCCATATGCCAGTCTAGAAGAGTTTAGGAGATTTATAATACGTGAAACTTTTGCCTTTATTTATTAAAGTCAAAATGGTTTATTCAGCAACAACTACAAGAGTTTTACAAGAGCAGTTACATCTTCAGCTTTTGCAGCAGCAGCAACAGCAGCAGCAGCAACAACAGCAGCAACAACAGCAGCAGCAGCAACAACAACAACAGCAGCAGCAACAGCAGCAGCAGCAGCAACAGCAGCAGCAGCAGCAACAGCATCCTGGAAAGCAAGCGAAAGAGGTAGGATCCGGTTATCTCATTGATATATAACAGTTCGCAGTTAAGAAGGGGCTTTGAGCGGCAAGAATAGTCTTAGATCTTCCTATAACAGGCTCTTGCTGTCTAAGTTGCAGTAGTATATATTTTTACTGAGCTTAGTAACAGTGACAGGCTCTCAGGCTTTCCTTTTTTTGTAGCATGGGACTTGAGAGTTACAATCTAATGCTGCTGTCGTCTAATGTTCACTAATGAATCACAGTACAAAGAGCAAGCTGTGTGGTGGACAAAGTACTGATTATCTTGTATTCATGGAGAATCTAAGTTGGTGAGGGAACCTTATTTTTCTCAGTGGTGCAGCTCAGAGAACATGCATGCAAATTTGGCCTATTGTTGGGGGTGGGGAGACTAGGGGAGAAACTGGTTGAGCACAGATTTCAAAGTCACAGGCCCCTGATTAATGAACTGCTACTGTAGGTTTAGAGTGGCGAGTAGAAAGTTACAGTTTGATATGCTCATAAATCAAACTGACAAGCGGGCTTCTCAGGCCTAGCTTGCACTTGTCAGCAAACTGCATCAAATATAAACATAATACAAACAAAACATGTTGAAGTAGTTAAATTGATCAGCAGGTATCAGAGCCGTTGTCTTCAAGCTGCCCATTATGCAAACGTACAGGAAACAGTTTTGACCTCCTGAGGCTTTGTTTCTGTTTGGATTTGTGAATAGAATTTCAGACAGCCATCAACTACAGAATAGAAATTGCTCCCTTATTTCTCCCGAGGCTTTGGGCAATCCACATGACTTGCTCCATTATGCAGTCTGTTTTCCAGTGAGCGCATCAGAAGTTTCTCTTTTCCCCAAACTAAAAAGGAAAGGTCTTCCACAGCAGCTTGTCTTTCTCTGAAGTGTGACTGCCATCTCAAACCCTCCGGAGTCCAAAGACCTCTGGTTTGCTTGTAATGCCTCACAAAATTGGAAGTTATACTTTTTCTTATAATAAGGGCACTTTTTTTTGCCTTGAACATAATTCTGCCTTTAATATATTCCAACAAGAGGGGAGAAGAGAGAGAGAGCTAACAGGCCTATCCTACGAAGGCTACATCCCAGTTTACTAATAGATCACCAGAGACCACATTCATGGACCTCTGCAGATCAAACTTAGTTGGAAAAAAAAATAGTGTGCTGTAGAAGTTGACTATTTCTGTAAAGTGGTGTTCTTTTAGTCTAGAGAAATTTATTATCTACAATAAGTAGATTTTTAAAAGCTGAACCTTTATTACATACTATGTGTAGACATTGCTCCATACTTTTTTTGATTCAAGCTCCTTGGTTCTCTAATGCTGTTTAATATTTGAAAGAAAAGCAACTGAAAATCTAGAACTTACTCACCTTCTGCCCCTGAACTTTGACTATGGGATGACCAAAAAACCCACTCACGCAATGAAAGGAGTGTGCATTTCTCTGTAAGAGAGCTGTTTGTACAGGCCATGTTCTCTGCTGTTTACTGGGTTGGGTTTTCTGATGCCAGCAGCAGCAGCAGCAGCAACAGCAACAGCAGTTGGCAGCCCAGCAGCTTGTCTTCCAGCAGCAGCTTCTCCAGATGCAACAACTCCAGCAGCAGCAGCATCTGCTCAGCCTTCAGCGTCAGGGACTCATCTCCATTCCACCTGGCCAAGCGGCACTTCCTGTCCAATCGCTGCCTCAAGGTACATACAGAATGTTGTGCACACTTCATTTCAAATTTTGTACTTTCTACCCTTTCATGGCCTTTCTGCTGTATACCTTGAGAAATTTTGTTTTTATCACTTTCAAGTTTATTATTAAAAGATGATTGTTAACATGGTTGCATGACCCATTTTCTAGCGGCTCAGAAATTTTACCATATACTGCTTTCAAGTGTGTAGTAAAACTCTCAAGTGTTTTGTGGATATTAAATGTGTATTTATTAGTGTTATGGGCACAAAATAATTTATAAGGGCAACGCAATTTAAGCACTATTGAATATACAGTAGGATCTGCAGGGAATTGGATTACTGGGAAGGCTGACAGCAGTCCATTTAACATAAGTGAGCTGATAGGAGTTTGGTGAACAGCTGATAAGAGAAAGATAAAAGTTCCTAATCTTCACACTGAAATCAACACATGTAAAAGAGAGGCTTTATGAATGACTATAGAGCACATTCCAAGTTGAGCTTTGTAGAACCCCATCCTATATCACAGGACCATATCCATCCTGTTTTCTCTCTCATAATGTTGCCTATGCATGTATTGTAAACTATAGTTTAAAAAAAAATCTGTCAACTGTATTCTGATTTTTCTATAAGAAAACTTTGACGGTACTCTGATAATATAATTGTTTGTCATATCCATGACCCTTCGCTTTTGAGAAATGGAAAGAATTTTAAGTTAAAAAAGAAAAATAATGGTAAACAAATGACTGTGCTAAAATTCCCAATTCAGGTAAAAGTTATATATCATTACATTTCATAAAAGGATATTTCTACTTGCATTTGGATTTTGTTGGGACAAACATTAATCCAAATATACATTAATTCAAATTAACTATATTTGTCACAGAGGAGTTTATATTGTAGTAGCATTGGCTGTACATTTTGCTGACTCTAAAGGACATACTAAAGAAAATCAAGAATCTTGTGATAATGTTCTTTCTTTTTATTTATCAAACTAATGTCTCCTAGGCTTATTTTTCCCTGATTTTCGTCTCTCATTTGACTTCAAAATTTGTAAGTCACCTGATTGGAGCACTCCTAGGAAATCAGAAAATATAAAGTTTAAATAGCAGAAGAAAAACAAAGCAATACACATATTTTTCTGAGTTATTCTAAAGAAAATTAGAATAAATCATAGTGTCATTTTATCAGTGAATGTTCTATTCACAGTTATTCTTCTTTAGAAAATAAATACAATTTAAAGACAAATGAAAAATAAAGTAAAAGAGGAAAGAGTTTATAAAAGTATTTCAATGTAGACATGGATTTCTTTGATAGAAACTATATGAAAACAGAAACAGTCTTTATTTTCTTGTCAGTAAAATTCAAATGAAATCTGCATTAGGATACAATTTTATGAGAATTCCCTCAACAAAAAAGTACAGTCTACCACAATCTTACTTTATTAAATCTATTCAAGTAAACATTTTAAGAAAGTTAAAAATATGTGCTAATAGTAACACAATGTAACTTGTTTAAAACATATTGTGAAACCACATTCTTTCAAAACAAGCAAAAACTATCTCTCTGAAAAATGAAATTTATAATGATATAACCATTCTAGTAGTTTTCAAATAGAAATTACCTGAAATTCAAATTCAAATTTATTTTCATAGAATTGTTATTTCTCCCTTTTCTTCTGTTTTTATCCTTGATAAGATATATAAGATATAAAATGAGAGAATGGAGAACATTTAGGAAAAGAAAGTAAATCTGAAAACATCTGTCTTTGAGCAGAAAATTTATATTTTAAAAAGGAAAAAAGATGAAATCATAAGCTATGTTTTCATGACTATAGGTTAAAAAATCCATTTGAATAAATATAGGACCACAAATATAGTTGGTTTCCTGATCAAGGTTTGTGTTGTTGCCATGTAAGCAACACAAACTGGCATCATCATCTTATTTTTTACGATTTAGATGATTACGTGTGACAAGTATAATTGTGGAGGCTCATTGTGTGTTGAGTACACCAGCTACAGTAAAGGAACCTAACATTATTGTGCTATGCTGGATCCCAAAACTAGATGAGAAAAAGTAAAGAAATATTTCTTGTACAGTAAAAGCCCTGAATCATTACTTCTTTAGTTAGAGTTTAAGGTAAAAACATTTTGAATGTTTTTATTATCAGTTTCCAGTTCATTTTGTACCAGGTGTTTGGTTGGTTGATTGATTAGTCATGAAAAATAGCCATATGAAAACTAAGTAGGATTAATGTGCAATGATGGATAATGTTCTCATTGTGTCTTTAAAAGGATATGGTTTTTTTTTTTTTTTTTTTTTGAGGAGTCTCGCTGTGTCACCCATGCTAGAGTGCAGTGGCGCTAACTCAGCTCATTGCAACCTCCGCCTTCCGGGTTGAAGCGATTCTCCAGCCTCAGCCTCCAAGTAGCTGCAATTACAGGTGCCCACCACCACGCCTGGCTATAATTTTTGTATTTTTAGTAGAGGCAGGATTTCATCATGTTGGCCAGGCTAGTCTCCTACTCCTGACCTCAAGTGAACCGCCCACCTCAGTCTCCCAAAATGCTGGATTACAGGCCTGAGCCACCACAGCCAACCTAAAACTATGTCATATTTTATTTATTCCTGTAAATTAACACAACTTCTTCTTGCTACTTTTAGAGTTACAACTTCTTAAATTATATTAAAATATATGTATATAAAAATGAGAAATAAAATTAGAAGAATTTTGGTAGAATAGCAGATTTATTGACATTTTTCTCTAAAGTTTTATATTTTATCATCATAATGTAAATTACTTTAAATATTAAGCATTTAGAGTCATTATTAATATTACTATAATAATGCATTTTAGTGTAAAACAGGTAAGTAAACTTCCATCTACTAAATATGTACATGGTTTATATACAGAGTGATGATAGGTATACACATACACGTAAGCCAAATAGAAAGGATAGCTTTATAGTTCCATCTTGAATAATATACTGATTATAAATCTCTGTAATATATAAATAACATAATTCAGTTTATATATTATCTAGTAATGAAATTTAGTGCAACAGTTTAATGAACCAGTATCATTGTCTATTGGTTAGGAAAGATGAAGTTAGCTTTAAATGTTGGTATGTTTTTGACATCCGCTAAAAGTTTGTGTACTGTAATCTACAGTATATTCACAGGTTTATTTTGACTGTATGGATAGAAATATATGTAGTGATGATTTTCTTTCACTCCAAATTTTTACATAGTTTTTAATTTATAAAAGTTATTTAAAAGATAACATTTTCATTACCAATTTGGAAGACCAAACAGGGAATGCTAGGTTCTAGCCAGTCTTCTTTTGAATTAACACATTGTGGAACTAGAAAATCTTAGAATAAGAGTGGTTGAATAATAATTAAAAATGAAATATTTTGAAATAAAATATAATAATGTTTTTTAGGCTGAGTTAAAATTGTGCTGAAGATAGTCTTTGGGTTCACTCTGCAGCCAAAAATTAGCTATTTGGCTTTGGCTTCATTCTATGCTTACGGAAGTCTAAGTAGCCAAATGCCTACTTCTGACATCCTAGATTTACTGCTTAATCAATGATCCTCTGCTTGCATAGATTACTGTTTTATGTAATCCTGGCAATAAACTAGTGATATGAACAATGCGTGTCATGCAGAATTATTAAAAGTTCTCAATTTGTAAGTTGGAGGAAAAAACTTATTTGATATTTTACGTGCTGAAATTTCATTACTGAATCGAAGTTTAAAGGTACATTTATTATTGCAGGTATAAAACTCTGCCAAGCTACCTGTGAATGCTGTTAATTTTATGTTTAAAAAACTAGTAAATAATTACATATATAGAGAAATATTGAGTATGTCGAGTTAGTTTTTGAAAAAACGTAAAAAAGATTGAGATTAAATTATATCATAACTCTAATTCTTGTGGAATTATTTTGTGAACTAGAATGTATAACATTAAAATGAATTTAATTCCATTTAGCTCTTAAGTCTTTTTAAGTTTTATTTGGCAATTGTTTACATCTTGAGAGGAAGACTGAAAAGCAGTGTGTCAACTTTGCCACATTAAAATATCATGATGAGAAAAACCAAAAATTATTGATTTTGTAATAGAATATCAAACTTTTAAAATGCAACCCTATGAAAAATTTAGTAGTAAAATGATAGTATTAATTTTTGTTAATATCAGATATGTTCATATATCCCAGACGTTTCTTCTTTGGTGAAGATATTTATCTTTGGTCTCAGTTTTCAGCTGAATACCTACTTCTGCTCCCTGTAATTTGGCATTTGGACAAAGTGTGTATTTAATTCACCTCTCATTTGACAGGCATTTTATTTTTTTATTTTTATTTTTTATTGCATTTTAGGTTTTGGGGTACATGTGAAGAACATGTAAGATTGTTGCATAGGTACACACATGGCAGTGTGATTTGCTGCCTTCCTCCCCATCACCTATATCTGGCATTTCTTCCCATGTTATCCCTCCCCAACTCCCCACCCCCCATGTCCTTCCCCCATTTCCCCTCCACAGACCCTAGTGTGTGATACTCCCCTCCCTGTGTCCATGTGTTCTCATTGTTCAACACCCACCTATGAGTGAGAACATGCGGTGTTTGATCTTCTGCTCTTGTGTCAGTTTGCTGAGAATGATGGTTTCCAGGTTCATCCATGTCCCTACAAAGGACACAAACTCATTGTTTTTGATGGCTGCATAATATTCCATGGTGTACATGTGCCACATTTTACTTGTGCAGTCTATCATCAATGGGCATTTGGGTTGGTTCCAAGTCTTTGCTATTGTAAACAGTGCTGCAGTGAACATTCGTGTGCATGTGTCCTTATAATACAACGCTTTATAATCCTTTTGATATATACCCAGTAATGAGGTTGTTGGGTCAGATGGAATTTCTATTGCTAGGTCCATGTGACAGGCATTTTAAAGATGGGCATTGGATCTGTAGGTGATAGTAGGCCTCTAGTCAAAAATAAATCAATAAT